TTGATTTACACCTCTGTTTTGTGGATTTTGTTTTAGTGAATACTCTGTTGTTGAGAGTCCCTACGTTTTGATTAATAATTGTTACCCTTTTTTGTTTATTTTGAAAAACTCCAAACAATAAATCCTTCAATTGTTAAAGCCTTACCACCAGGGTTTCTTTAATGTTACTTCCTTTTTCCCTGGCTGAGCCGGGTCGTAACAGGATGAAAATATCCAACAAAATACAGAAAGTTATGAAAGATTTCCAGGCAGTGGCGCCACCAGGGGGTGGCCAGGAGTGGCCAGGGCCACCCCGTGCAATGCCCTGGCCGCCCCACTCGCCAGTGTAAATTGTAGTAGCATCAGTTAAGCATTTCATCCCATTATGCACAGCCAGTGATGTTTACTTAAGTCTGTATGGTTTCTACAGGCAGGTTTACCACAATAGTAGATTCAAACCCTGAAATTATGGCTTTTAGTTTCAGTGGCCACCCCAAGATTTTTAGTGGCCCCATTAAGCCACCCAGTGAAACATTTCTGGATGTGCCACTGTTTCCAAGGCATGACAGAAACTGTGCACACAAACATTGTTATTGGAAATGGAAGAACCAGCTACATATTTTCCTATCTCTAACCGTGACTGGCTGGTGGTGAGCAGGCCTTCAGTACAATTAAGATAATAATAAACTATCTGGGCTGTAGGATGTCCCAGGAAAGGTTCAACGATCTGGCCATGTGGTCTATATAGCATCAGCCTGCCAAGAAATTAGACTTTACCTCTAAGTAAAGTCGACTTAGATTGTTTTTCAAAAGATTATTCAATGAACTATATCATCTATTTTTTTTCTTTAATTAATGCATATATCTGTGGGTTGTTTATATACACTTGTCCTTCCTGCTCAATTAGCCTTGCCTCCAGGTCAGCTTGTTGATCTATTAGACTCCTGATCAAGACATTCTCCTTAATGGCCAGATGGAACTGGTTGATCCGTTTTTTCCCCCCATGTGACAGTGACTGCATATAGAGTGGCTCCAACTGCACAGGGTGAGTAAATCTGCGCAACAACCAGCGCTGCTATAAGGCAAAGTCCCCCTTAGAGAGTCTGTGCAGCATCTCAAACTGGAACAGATAGAGAATTTTTATGGGTCTGTTTTAAAAACATAATGACATTTACGTCTAAAGAAAAGGAAAACTCAGCAATAAAAGCCGTGAGACGGTTTCTATGCTGACTGAGGCAGAGAGGCGATTCTCACAGAGAGATCTGGGAATTTTGCCAGATTTATTTATTTTTTTCTTTGTGAGGCTCCAAGAGGATCACTGCTCTGTTTCCTGTCCTCCTGAACTCCTATCATGGGAAAGTTTTCTATTTTGATTATTCATTCATTGTTTTTTTTTCCCAGTCTGTCCTGCTAACTTTTCACAATGTGTGACATAAAAAAATGAATATTTAGCCGTGTGATTAACTGATTTTTTTTGTATTTTCCCCCCAAAGTGGATGTTTTTGACTTTGTAACCGCATTTTTCTTCCTGTCAGACCCATGAAATTGCTGCGTAGTCTGACTAAAATAGACCTGGGCTCTATCTCATTCGGAGCTACGCTGCCCCCTGCAGGAAATCATCCCATTCGACTTTCATCCGATACGATTCTGTCGGATCGGACGCAAAATCAGATTCGGTGTGTTCTGGCCTTAAGACGACCCTCTGCTTCTTCCACTTTGCGGTTAACTCTCTGTAATTTCCATTTTATTTCAAAATGTTGCTTGTTGTTATCTCTTTTGAAATGACAAAGCTTTTCATGACATTACGCAGACTAGGCTCCAGTAAGCATCTTCTGTCACTGGCTGGCATTAGCTCTGAAATACAGCCTCGGTCTGCTCGGCTTCTTTCCGTTTCGTCTTTGATCATAAATGTAGACTTCATACAATTTTTCCATATTCTTAAATATCAGCATTGTTGAGGAATAGACTTTTTATTTACGCTGCAATTCTCTTGCTTGCCGAACCACAAGTCACTTGAAGCAGTATTTTCTGACACTGTGGAAGCAAATGTTTGTTTCTTTGTTTTTTCTATTTTTTGTATTTTATTTCACGTTAAGGAAAAAAAAGAATCCTTTTTGCCAAACAAAGATGTTCATGACGTTATTTGCACCACACAAGAAGAGGAACGTCAATGAACCCTGTTGGAAAACTACATGAAGAAAAATGAAGAAATGAAGTAATGATGGAAAACCTACAAAAAGAAAATAAAATGAAAAAATTGATAAATAAATCAGTTTTCAGCTTAGCAGACATCTGAGTAAATGGAACCAGATGCAGAGGGACAGGATGCCATTTTGAAAAGATGTTCCAGTAAATTCTCTATATCAGGCATCCCCAAAGTGGGTCCTGGAGGGCCGCTGTCCTGCAGGTTTTAGAGGTTTCTCTGCTTCAGCATAGCTGATTCTGTTAATCAACTATTAATGTAAATCAGCTGTGCTGGAGCAGAGAAACCTCTAAAACCTGCAGGACAGCGGCCCTCCAGGACCTACTTTGGGGATACCTGCAGTGAAATCGGTGTTTAAACTCATAGAACGGAGTGATACTTACGTCCTCCCTTGCTCATCGGTGGTCAGGAGTTCAGCATCAGATGCTGCCCTCAGCCAGCCCTCCTCTTGCTGCAGCTGTGTCCAGAAGAAAGCGGAGCTGTTCAGATCCAAGTTGTGCTTCGTCTTAAACCAGTCCTGCTCTCTGTCACTGTGGATTTGCATGTCGCCGACACAAGAGGGCTGGAGGCTGAAGAACATGCAGTCAGGGCGAGACCACGCTACGTCGTATTCAGGGGTGCTGGGAGAGAATTCTGTGTAGTATTCTGGGCTTGGAGTGGTTTGATCATATTCGTCCCCATGAATCACATCTACAGGGGGAACCATAGACCCGCATTTTAACTCACAGATCTGACTTCAGTAAGTTGCATGTGATGTGTTCAGTAAGTTTTACCGGTGGGAGAAGGTTCCCGAAAGGCTGAGAAATCAGGAGAAGGTACATTTTGGGATGGGGAGTGAGAAGCACAGCTTGTTCTAAGATCGTCTTCCAGAACCTCCAAGATGGTTGCTAGTTCCTCCAGGCTTTTAACAGGGTGTTCTCCCTAAGGCAAGGCAAGGCAATTTTATGTTTTATAGCACAATTCAGTAAATGGGCAATTAAAAGTGTTTTACATGAATTAGATAATGAAATTGAAGACAAATAAAAGCAGAATAAACATAATAAAAGTTAGAGAAGAAAATAAAACAGTTGGATCACAAATTTAAACTAATAAAACATCAGTTAGCAGTTTAAATTATAACAGTCAAAAGCAGCTCTACTGTAACTTCAAAGAACTTAAGGCTTTCAGCTCTTTTCCAGTCTTCTGGGAGTTTGTTGGTTCTAGTTCTGGGTGAATAGAGTAGGCTGGAGCTAGAAGACCTGAGTGGTCTGGGAGGTTGATCCACTGACAACATACCTGTTATGGATCTGATCTATTCAGTGATTTCTAGATTAACAAAAGGATTTTAAAGTCTATTCTCTGAGCTACAGGGAGCCAGTGGAAGGACTTCAGAACCGGGCTGATGTGCTCTACTTTCTTAGTTCTAGTGAGGACTCAGGCAGCAGAGTTTTAGATCAGCTGCAGGTCTGATGAACTTTTTAGGCAAACCAATAAAAAAACTGTTGCAGTGATCAATTCTACTAAAGATAAATGGATGAATGAGTTTTTTTTTTTTTTTTTTTAGATCCTGCTTGGACATTAGTCCTTTAACCCTGGAGATGTTCTTCAGGTTGACTTAGTATCTGCCTTTATGAGCCTCCGAAGGTTCAGGTCCAAATCCATCATGACACCAAGATTTCAGGAATAATCAGTGGTTTCTAGCTGGAGTAGCTGAAGCTAACTCTAGATCTCTCCTCCTTTGGTCTGAGAGTTATTACCTCAGTTTGGTTTTTCCTCAATTGTAGTAAGAATAATGATCTGTTCTAAGCATCTAACCAACACTCTGGTGACATTGGTGACATCGGGCCAAATAAACCAATCAGATCAACAAAGCATATGACGTACTAACAGAGCGACGACGAAAACACAACCACAAGCCAGGCTACTCTTGCCATAACCAGTCGGGAGAAGAGCAAAAACATCTTTTCCTCTGAGAAAAGCCTCCAGAGCAGTGTTTTGCTCTTCTTTCAGTGAAGAAATACTCTGTAATTCCTATAAAACTTGCTCGATAGCCACGCTAACGCTAGTTTCATCGGCTGAAGCCGCCATGTTCTTTAGACTGAACTGTCGCGCTTCTCGTTCCGTCACACCTCAACCCGCCTCAAAGCCAACGCTATTTTGGACGTTCGTTTGGCGAACGGCTCCAAATTTTCTTAAACGGAGAGTCTCCTGACTGATCTGCGAGTGAAACCTTGAAAGCTCGCGAGATCAGGATGGTCTCACGAGGCTAATCTGAGCTAAGGGGAGGGTATAGATATGAAATAGGAGGGACCCCAGAATGGAGCCTTGAGGAACCCCACATGTGACTTTTCTGGTCTCTGATTTAAAGTTCCCCAATGACGCATAGAAGTCCCTGTTCTTCAGGTAGGATTTAAACCAGTCCAGTGCTCAGGGGCGGATTTTGAAAATTTGGGCCCTCTGCAAAAACAGGTAGGGGGCCCTCTGAATTGAGAAGACTAGGGGGCTGAGACACACTTCATACTATAAACGTTCTGATGCCATTTTAGCAAAAGGATATTTATCAAAAACATAATTAAGAAGCACAAATAAGCAATAGTTGTATGAACCATACATGTGAACAGACTTTAATGGGCCCCCCAGTAACTTGGGGCCTTGGTAACTGCCTAGTATTGCCTGATGGTAAATCCTCCTCTGCCAGTCCTCTAAAGCTTATTGAGTGCTCTAAAGTTTTCCAGGCGCTCTAATAAAATTGAGAGATCAACGTTATCAAACGCTGCCCCGGGGTCATAATACCAGAACCTGTGGATCTACGGAGTTAAGCAATTTAAGGTAATGATTTGCTAGAAGCTATTCTCAGCATCATCTGCGACGCTCAGAATTCCAAAAACCATCCGTGTCTTTAGATCATGAGAACCGCTGAGTAGCTTTGCTGAATTTGGCAACACTCACCCTGGTGGCTTTGGTTCTTGAACGAGGCCTGGCACGTTTCATGTCTCCTGTTGAGGGGAGAGTAAATGTTAGACATCAAAGCAGATTACAACCTGCACAGGTGGGCAGTTGGCTTTTTTTCATTAACCTCTCTTCTCTTTATAATTTAGATACTTTTGATTTAAGGATTGGGTAAAATGATTCATGCCCTTTACATTTTTTCTCACGCTGTGACTCTACTACCAATCTCAACAAAGTTCTACAGCTAGCATATAGCAGGGAAATGGAAAGAAAAAAATGTTCACCTTCTTATGCAAACAATAAATAGAGTTAAGGAATGCAGGTTAGAGCTGATGTGATGATGTATGGAGATAAATCGAGGACAGACCTGGAATTGGCCCAATCCATGTAATTAAATCTTTATCTAACTGTTCTGCTGGCATTCAACTCAAGCTGAGCAGATAAATATTTATAGTTTTTGCATTTTTTAACTTTAATTATTCAGGTTTATTTTATGTTGTACCAGGCCTTGGCAAATAATCAATTCAAAAATGTATTAACTTGAATTTTTGGTTTTGGACGATTTCAAATAAAATGTAATACAATTTCTTTTTCTTTATAACCAATAACTACATAACAACTCTCAGGTTGCAGTTTGCCAAGCAACAGCGTCACATAAAACAACAACCAACATTATAACTAGGTGAGATAGAAGTTTGTTTTTAAAAAAAAAAAGGAATGTGCTTTTGATCTTTCAGTGCTATAAAAATAAAGTAGAAATTGAAATAAAAGCTGCCGAATGTTGAGACTGGGGTAGAGATTCACCTTCCAGTATGAAAACAGCCCTGAACACATTTTCCAAACTGGCTGAGCCTGAACTCTTTAAAAAAGTGGCCAAAGCTTGAACAGAAAATCCTAAAAGTCCCACAGATCAAGGTTCCTCTGTACAACATTTACTAAGACAGGAGCTGATCACAAATCTAATTTTTTGGTTTTATATAAACAAAGTTAACCATTTGCCACTTTCCTTTTTTTTTTTCCTTTTTGTCGATCAGTCCTGTTAATTTTAGCAAAGTTTGTGGTTGGAAGATGAAAAGGGGAAAAATTCAAAAAGTTTTCTACGACATCTTTTCATTTTTGTGGGTTTAAGTCAATTGAAGGCCCCTAATATTATATGCCCCTTAAACTACAAAATGGGAAATGTCTAGCTGAACTCAAATCTTGGATGAAACAAAATGTTCTTCACCTTAATCAAAGTAAAACTCAAGTTATATTATTTGGTCAGAGTCTTCATACTAGAAATCCAGATCTGATTCTTGGTTCTTTGCTGGGTTTTGTCAGACCTCTGCTAGGAATCCTGGTTTTACTTTCGACAGCTATTTAAAGCTAGATAAACAAGTTAGCTCTGTTGTTAGATCAAGTTTATATCACCTGCGGATGTGAGCAAAAATGTAATCCTATTGTTCTTTTAAGGACTTTGAAGGGCTTATCCATGCTTTCATTACATCCCGGTTGGATTACTGCAATTCATTATATAGATATAGATACTTCAACTGATCCAGAACGCAGCGGCTCGGCTTCTTACTGGAACCAGGAAGCGTCACCATATAAGGCCTATACTGGCCTCTTTACATTGGCTGCCTGTCTTTTACTGAATAGATTTTAAGAATCTCTTATTAAAGGAATAGTACACCCAAAACATGATTAGCCTTCATTTTCTACTCACCCCCATGCTGAACAACACTCTGGAGTACTTTTTTGATATC